CTAATTAAATATTCTTGAATACAAATTGATCTTGAGTATTTTTTCTTGAATAAGAAATTTTGCATACCAATAAGATTGTGAAATAACTCATTTTCGATTAAGAAATGCTTTTCTCCACATTTTCGGTGAAGATTAATATGGAGATGATGTCAGAGCTTTCGAATATTGATAAATGAATAAGACGATGGTAATATCAGAGCTCTCGCAATTGCGAGAAGATCGTCCCGAAGATACTCGTGTTTATATTTTGAGCCTAAAGCAAAATGTTCTTTCCGCTTTCAATTTCGAATGGAAAGCGTCGCAGCAGAATCAAGCAAAAATATAATTAGAAAAGCGTGTTCCTCCTTCCATGTACGTACTATGTAATTTTTAAAGTTAAAAACTTGATTTAAATTATATTAATCTGTGAGACTTCCTGATAATTATGAACTTGAAGCGTAAATTTCATTAACTTCCATATAAACTCGAATTCAGTCAAAGTATAAAATTATTTTAATAAAAAATAGCATATTGGAATAAAATAAAATACTTTAGACACTAAATGTGGATGAGTATATAAATATTCAGTTGCAAACGATAATGATCATCGTTCAGCTGAGGCTCGTATAGTAGCAGATAATGCAGTTGCATTTAAACATCGAAGAAAGATTCCGCCCCGAGCCACGATCGACTTCGCGAAAGGTCGACTGCTGACCGACCTTCCGAATGTCTCTTATTTCTCTGTCTCCGACTCCTTCGTTTTTCTCTCGTCTAAAAGTCGAGGAAACTTCTCATTCCTGGAGTCTCGGCACCTTTCACGCATTCCTCCCGCGTCTCGTGAACACGCAAATATAGCCGTTCGGATTGGCCGAAGGTCGTATTGTCATCGCGAACAGATGCGAAGGTCGGTCTTCGCAGGTATTAAAATCGCTCGCGTCTCGACGCTTCTCGAGTCGAGTAAAGTGCAAGTTTGCTTTCACTTCGGAAGCTGAACGATGATTCATGGCCCTCGAACCGAAATATGGGGTGTGTTCTTTCATTTTTGAACCGGTTTAATATAATTACCTTTCTGATAATTAAACTGGTATTCGTATTCACAAATCATCCTAATAAAATCGGACGAATTCATCAATTTTTTTTTTTTAGAGAAACATACTTCATTGTACTCGAAAAAGAATACATAGATATGAGATAATAATCAATAAATTTCAGAAATTTTTCAAAGGCAATCACAATCAGATACGCTTCAGAGCGAGGTGAAGATCTACTCTACAATTATTCATTAAGATATTATCTGCAACATCTAATAATTTAGAGACTTTAAAGAAGAACTTTAGAGAAACAGATGTCATAACAAGACATATGTGTATGTACTTCCACAGGGTAATTTGTGTGGTTGGGACCAAAAGAGCGACGGCTAAGTCCGTCGCCGCGTCCGCGTCCAATTTTCCGCCGGATAATTTAAGGCGCGATTTTTTTCGCGGCCTCCAAATTACCTCGTCGATCCGTCGAGGAGCGGACGGGAGGACTGTTACGACCTCCCGATCGATTTTGCAATCGAATTGCCACACGCGCTCGCTCTTTCTTTGCGGCGTGCAACGGCTTAAAGCGGGGCGCATTGCGAGTTGCGAGTGCAACGGCCAAGAGGGGGGCCCGGGGCCCGGGGTGGCGGCACGAGGTGGGACCTCTCTTTCCTTCCAGCATCGGGAGGAAGCCGACGGTCGTTCCCAGGTATTCGATATGCGCGATAGATCGTGCCCTCAAATGATCTCTTCCAGCTCTTTGCAGCTCGCGCCCGCTCGCGCCTTGAGATATACATTCGATCGCGCGTAGATCCTGAGAAGTTGCGCCGCTCTGCTGCAACATTAATCTACTATCGCTGCGAGGAATGCAATGTAAGAGGTTCTATTACCAGCACCTTCTAAGATTACGATGATATCCTTTCCAGAATTATTACGTCGCAGAAAGTGAGCGAATTAATACCGCAATGCACGATCCATTTTCCGCTCGATAGTTTACGTTCGAACGTAAAAAGGGAGGCACATTGCAGGCGCGGGGGAAGAAACACCGGAAGATATATCTTTATTGTGTTTATTTTTTGAAAAAATGTGTAATTTTTCCGTATGGGATACATGGATACACCGTATACGTATAATAAAAATCTATAAATTTAATTATAACACAACATAATAATTGAACGAAAAATAACACGATGGAAAATTTAATTTAATCATATAATAAATTAATTTTAATAAGTAAGTAAGTGTAATTAATAAGTAAATTGTAATAAAAAGAATTTTTTTAATGCCATATGCGATGTACGCTGGGATAAAAAAATAATCGTTTCGATTAGCGAATGGATTTGAATATCGCGAAGAAATCAAGAAACGTATCGTTTCATGTCAAGTAGACCCCCATATAATGGGGGATGCGTTTCGTATTATACGAGTCAAATGTTAAAAATGTAACAGCAGAATATTTTTTATTTCACTTTAAACAAACAAATATTAAAATTTTTCTGTCGTGTTATACAAATCCGTGTTATATGGGAGTCTGCTGTATATTTTTCGTCAAAAAGTCTACCCTTTTTCCGTGAAAATATTCTAAAAATTCGTTAAAAAATAGAGAACGTGCATAACGTAATCACGCAAGATTCATCGTCCGGTATGTGAAACAGCAAAACGCAACCATATAACTCACGCACACGTTGAAATGGGATTACAAATCTGATTCTACTTTCGCTGTTTAAAATTTGAACGGGAATTGATTAAAATTACCGGTAGCGCTGCTTTTATCGTTTTATACTCGTAATACTTGATATTCTAACTTGCAGTAATCGTGTAATAATCGCAAGTACAACCACAAGAAAAAGTCGTTAAAAATCAAAATAAATAATTTATAAATCAGTAAGTTCATAAAAAAATAATATAGATAAATAATTAAAAATATAAATTAATTAATTAACGTGAGTGTAACTTAATTAATATTACGTAACGTTATCTTTCACTTTCCACCTTTACTTTCGAAGAATCGTATTTTTATTATTCCATTCTCAGAATAATATGTTCCGCGCAATGTCATTTTTAAAAAACTCGAAGCACTTAAGTCTGTTTTCTTGAATACATAACATTGTTACTTTCTTTTTTAGTCAAACTCTTTAATTATGCCGATTAGAATAAGATTAGGAGTCGCGCTCGCAGAGAAGATACTCCTTTCTCTCCTCGTCTCCTTTCCACGCATTCCTTCTCACTTTCGTGCTCATTAACACCGTGGATTCGTTGAAAGCGTGACTAGTAAGATGCAAAGAGCTCCAAAAGAAAAAAAAAAAAAAAAAGAAGGAACGAGTGCCTACGCCTACGGACGTGTCCATATAGATTTGCACTTCTCGTTCGAGTTCTCAAGGTTTACTTTTCCACGCCGTTCGCGTTTGTAATCGCGTTTTGATACCGCGGGGCGAATATGCAAGTCAAATGTTTCCCTCGCCTGCGCGTTACTCAACGCGAATGTAGATCCTTTCCTTCTGGAATTCGATCTCCAGCCTCCGACGCGCAACTTTTACCTCCACCTCATCGAGCCGCGCCAAAACGGATTGCGTTGCGCGCGGAATCATGTATAGGACAAAACCGCGATCGCGACCGCAATCGGCCACGATTTCTCATTAATGTTGATGCAATTTCGATCGTTTGCCCGCACGCTCGGTCGGAAATTGGTCTACGCATCGCACGTTCCAGTAACACACTCCAAGCGAGAGAAGAAGGAGATTGCGAACCCGCGTGCTGGATATAACGAGCTCGTAATTACGCGGTCCTCGTGAGTTCCTCGCTCACCGGGACTCGGTGATTTCCAAATAAACATTATTCTTTCGCGGGCTCTTGGAAACGCGGCTTGGGCGCAGGTGCATCGCCGTCCGTGTTTGATTCGCAGATAACATACATCTCGCGCAGGAAAGTCCGCACTTCCCGCCTAGGCGTAGTCCTTGTGTTACTTTTCCGAGAGCGCATCCGTCGTCGGCGTCGCGCGTTCGAAGATTCTCTACTTCGTTCTAACAATAAGATTCTTTTCCAGCGAACGCTTTCTATAGAAATCACTGACCGAGCGCATCGTCGAAGTGTTATAAATCGAAATCTACGCGAAAAAAATCGATGAATTAAAATTGATTCCTTCTCGGAATTAATTAAAAATATACAACTCATTTAAATCCGGAGTCTATAGCATTTCCGTGACGAAATCGTTGGGACAAGAAATGATTCCTTTTATTATTAAAGACTTTTTTTCAATTCAAAGATAATTGTAGAGAAGATTAATGAAGTTTTGTGGTCGTAATAATAGATTCGAAAGAGAGGATTGCGTGTTTTTTCTTGATGATTGCTTGGAGAACTATCGAAAGCTGCATATCATCATCGAAAATGTTACCGTTAATAAAGAAATATCGGTCGCTAAGATCGCGAAAGAACAGTTTTAGATAACGACTTATCACTATGAAGGTGAAATTTGTTTCCTCTGCCCAAGTCTAGTTCTTGTTCTGATCACCCAGTGACTCAGTTCCAGTTCGATTAGAGAGTCATTCGAAGAGAAATGATTATCACTTTCGGAGAACAAGCCTTCTCCAGATACATTACGTCAAAGAAAATAAATTGCTATTTCTACTGAGAGTAAAATTAAAAAAATTGCTTCTCTACAATCTTAACATTTCCAGCGCCTAACGTGACATTTCGACTGGTATTTAAACAGGTTTCAGAGAAATCACAAAACACTTTCAGAATAAATTTTCTGCAGACGTGTGGAATTAATGAGAAGTGATTTCTAATCTAATAACGTAAAATTAAAAATTGTTTTTTTGTACGATAAATTCAATATATTAGTCTTATTCCGGCTAAATGCATCTATATAGGGACACTCTAACATCCTGTTTTTTTCAAGAGATCAGCTTCCAATGATCTTCGGGTATCAACCGCAAGTAGATCGCGAAGGAATTGTTTAATGACTCGACTTATCATCGGTTCGGGGGATAAGATTCTTACCCAGTCCATGTTTAATCGCTTGGTCTAATCCCTCAGTGATTTAATTGCGGTGTTCAGTCAGGAGATCCTCAGCTTGCACACATCGCGCGTCAGATACATCCGCTTAAAGTGCACGGGCCCACAGCGGCGAAATGCGAAATCGCCCGTTGCACTCGCGACCTTGTATCTGTACGACGACACTTGAAGGACGACGCGGGCTTCCCTATACCCTGCGGGGACGAGGCGCGAGCACCGTTCTCCAGGACGATGAGCGTATAACTGGCTCGGTCTATCTGGCGTTCGCGCTCGCAAGCCCAGCGAAGGTGGACGGAAGGCGCACTGTTACTTTCATGGGTCGTCTCGCATACTGCCAGCACCTTCGTGGGACATGCCACCAACCCGATGATTGGACCCCACCAACCGGAACCGCCAGCGCGTTTCCAGTCCTTCGCGATGCCGGGCCCATGCAAGATACTTGACGCGATGCAGTGGTGGAGGTGAAAGGAAGACATTTCCTCGCCGGCTGTCTTCGTCGGTACTGGCACGCTTCTGTTCGTTGGGCATGCAACGCTATAGGTGTTAACATTATTGTCGAACGAGTAGAAACTTTGGACACAATTATTTATTTTTTATTTCTTTGATCTTTGCGTGTAATCATGATATTTCGAATGGAACGATACATGTAGGGGGAGTCCGGGAGACTTGACCGAAAGAGCTCAATCCGAGCACGTGACAACATGACGATTGGTAGTGCGTTTCTACTGTGATTGAGACAAACGTGTTTTAACGTGCTCGAATTGAGCTCTTTGTTCAAAATTTGAACGAGATATTTGAAGTGGTTCAACTCTCCTCTATGGTCAAGTCTCCCGGACTCCCCCTACATATATATTGGATCAACAGTTATATCTTAGAAAATATTTTCATGTTTTATATTAAACATTATGAAATAATATCTAATATAATATAATTATTAATAATCTATATATATAAAATAAAACAGAATGTCTGTATGTATGTTCTTTATACACTCTTAACGAAATTGATTATTCAGTTAACAGGAAATGATCTCATGATCTAACGCAGTCAAGTAACCTAAATACATCGTATTATATCAATCATTGGAAGTCATTCCATTGGAAAAGTAAGAAAAGAAAGAGTCACATTTAAACGTGACGCGAAGAGTAATGTCGCGCAATGAAAATACTTTCGACTTCCAACTGACTAACCTGAATATCTGGCCAACGTGAAGAGAAATGAAAATTGATACGGATCGTGTACGGATTACCAGATATTGATTCCAATAATCATTTGATAATATTGCTAATACTAGTATTTATAAAAAAGAAATTAACTAAAGAATTATTAAGAATGTTGATTAATCCTCTTATGATTTAATGAACGTTTTAGAATTGCGTATTAAGTAATTTGTGAATTATTATTTAAATAATACATATTTACATATAATTTGCAAATAATTTATAAATTATACTTCTTGAGCTGAATTTAATTCGAGACCAACACTTTCGGGATCTAACGTGGATTTCTTAAATCTTTTCGTGGAACTCTCTGAAAATAAATATAAAAAAAACCTTCAGAATCACGTAATTTTCTATTATATTAATCAATACGAATCAACTTATTTTGTTATAGTATAAGATATAAAAAAATTAATTACCTTGGTAGAAACGTTTCGCAGTGCGTTTTCTAATTTCCTCAACACCTTCCTCCATCTGAGCCCATTCAAGAACTAATCTTCGACCGTACAAGTGAGTGCTTTGACACAGTGCTTTAAATGCTTTCTAAGAAAAGAACGCGAATTAAAATTAGTACAAGAATAACTAAATGTAGTTCTCACTCTTAGTATATATACTTATACGTTTATACATAATTTAACTTTTTACGTTAGATTTATTAAGTCGAATTAAATTCTTCAGGTGCTAGAAATTATTACCTTTGCATCTGTCGTAGTATAATACTCGATGAAGCCGAATCCTCTGTGCTTCTCAGTACCGACCAGTTTCTTCGGCATTCGTACGGCCTTCAACTCACCGTATGATCTGTAAAATTACAATGAATTAATTAATGCGTTGCATGTTATTTAAAAGTATTTCGACGAAAAAAAAATATATATGATATGTACATACTTGAATAATTCCGTCACTTCCTGGACAGTTGCTTGGAAGGGTATGTTTCGTACTAAAATTTTAGTGCCAGTTTGTTCGGTGATCTTGGACTTTTTCCTCGCTGTTTTGACGTCGGACCTAGAAAGTTTTGCGGTTAACAAAAATTCTCGGCTTTTCGACAAGATAGATTGAAGAAATAAACGTACATTAGTGTTCTCTCAGATCGTTTCAATTCCAAGCTCTTCCCATCGAGTACTGACATTTGCAACGTTTTTAACGCACGATCTGCGTCGAGTTTCCTCTTGTATCTGATAAATCCATATCCCATAGACAATTTTTTAGCAGCATTTTCCGGATCCTTTTTAGTTGCTATTGTAACATAATGGAGAGGACCGCATTTACCAAAGTACTGTAAGCGTAAAGTTGTATTATTGCAAAGAAAACAACAATGATCGCAATTGCGAATGTAACAGTTTTTAACTTACATCTTTCAACTGTTCTTCCGTAGTTGAGAAATTGATATTTTTTAC